TCTTATCATAGCAACGTCACTGTGGCCCAAAGTAGCCACAGTCAGGACTGGAAAGAGTGGGCATGGCGGGGTGTCAGTAAAACTATTTATGGACATTGAAATGTGAAATGTGAAGTTGATATAATTTTTTGTGTCCCCAAATCTTGTTTTTTTAGTTTTTTTCCAACCACTTAAAAATGTGAAAGACATTCGTAGCTTGCTGGCTGCACAAAGACAGGAGGCAGGGTGGCTTTGGCCCACACCTGGGGTTTGCTGACACTGGTTGGGGGGCTGGGTTGGTTTGACAGGGTCCTGGTGGATAGAACTTTCATTGTAACATTTTAGAAATTGTAATATGATGTCACAAAATCTTCCATATAAAATGTGATTAGACAGTAAATTAAATGGTGAAGAATGGAAAGATTGGGATTATTCCACATTAAGGACATAAAAAAAACCTCACTGAGGCTATTCTCTAATATGCACAGCATGCAAAAATAAACTTATTTCAAATGGTGACAAACTCTGTTATAACACATTACAGAGTATTCCATTTATATCTGACCTTCACAGCAGTTAGGACAGGCATTCACCCCGTTTCACAGAGGAAGAAACTCATTCCCACACGGCTAGTTTCACTGACCCAAGGAGGCCATGCTACAAGGTTAGGGCCAGGATTCGTGTCTAGATCCTCCTCTTACAGATACTGTTCTTGTTTTTGTTTCCCCATATAGGTGGTCCTTTGGAAGAACTGTATTATTCTTATTCTTATTCTTATTCTTATTCTTATTCTTATTCTTATTCTTATTCTTATTCTTATTCTTATTCTTAATTTAAGTAGGTGCCATGCCCAGTGTGGAGCCAACATGGGGCTTGAACTCATGACCTGAGATCTTGATCTCAGGGCCTGATGGACTGAGCCACTCAGGTGCCCCTAGGACTGTATTCTGAAATATCCTTTCTAAATCACTTGGAAAATGGAACTTTTCTCTTTAGAGAAGATAGTAACGAGGTCCCCAGGTTATCCACAAATGACGTTTGAACTGTAATATAACACAACTGCAGTCCTGTGGAGCAATAGGAGTTCTGGGTCCTGGGGGCTGTGGGAAGTAGAAAGGAGGGGGTCAAATTAATTTTCTTTGCCCATGAGTGGCTGTCGACAAAATTTCCAAGTGGTCAGTGATATCTATGGCACTTTCTGTTCTTCCATCTCTGGCCATTGGGGCCCCTGATTTGCCCCAAGCCCTCCTGTGAAACCCTCCAGGGGCTCAGCCTCATGGGGTCTGTGGAGGAGCTTGTAAATACCACCAATCCCTGGGCTCCACCTCCACTGTCATTAATTGGTCAGGGGTGGGGCCTGCACATTCCTTAGTTTTTTTTTCTTTTTCTTTTTTTAAATTTCTTTTCAGCATAACAGAATTCATTGTTTATGCACTACACCCAGTGCTCCATGCAATAAGTGCCCTCCATAATTCCCACCACCAGGCTCACCCAACCTCCCACCCCCCACCCCTCCAAAACCCTCAGATTGTTTTTCAGAGTCCATAGTCTCTCATGGTTCATCTCCCCTTCCAATTTCCCTCAACTCCCTTCTCCTCTCCATCTCCCTATGTCCTCCATGTTATTCCTTATGTTCCACAAATAAGTGAAACCATATGATAATTGACTCTCTCTGCTTGACTTATTTCACTCAGCATAATCTCTTCCAGTCCCGTCCATGTTGATACAAAAGTTGGGTATTCATCCTTTCTGATGGAGTCATAATACTCCATAGTGTATATGGACCATATCTTCCTTATCCATTTGTCCGATGAAGGGCATCTTGGTTCTTTCCACAGTTTGGTGACTGCAATTGCAGTACTGGGTATTTACCCCAAAGATACAGATGTAGTGAAAAGAAGGGCCATCCGTACCCCAATGTTTATGCATTCCTTAGTTTTAAGCTTCCCAGGTGATTCAGATATGGGGCCAGCTGTGAAAACCGCTGTGGCTAAACCCGAACCTCCCTTCTTGTCCTACGGCCGACCTCAGTCAAGTGCTAGGAAGGGTGCTGATGAAGCGTTTTCACACCGTTTTGGTCTCACGCGTCCTGCATCCATTTGGTTACTAAGCTTGTTAAACCCAATGGGTCAATATGTTTGTCCTCTCAGCTCTGATCACAACTGCCCAAAGACAGACTGTTGTTTCTGGTCTCAAGCAGTACTTCTCAATCTGTCTGTGCTGCAGCATCATTTTCCTTTTCTTCTTTAAAAGTCTTCCCCACCCCATGTTACTTTATCGAATACATTGAAAACAGGTACTAGAAAAAGGAAATGAAAAGGTTCACAAAGTACGTGCCCAAGTCTTTTATGATGATCTTCAACAGACACAAAATGACATGTATTGCTCTAAAAGTATATTTCTTTTTTTTTTTTAAAGACTTCATTTATTTATTTGAGGGAGAATGAGAGAGGGAGAGAGAGAGGACATGGAGAGGGGAGGGCCAGAGAGAGAAGCAGACTCCCCACTGAGAAGGGAGCTGGATGCATGAGGGACTCAATCCTGGGACTCCTGGATCATGACCTGAGCTGAAGGCAGTTGCTTAACCACCTGAGCCACCCAGGCGCCCCAGTATCTCAGTTTCTGTACCGGTTACAGACTGGTAGCCTGCGGTTGGGACTGGTGTGTGCTAGGCCAGGCCCGTGTTGCCGAGGGGCCCCAGGCTGTCCACGTGCTCACACAGCCTCCTCACCTGTCTGCTTGTTAGTCCTTGAGTAGATATGCTCTCACTTTTTAATGCTTTTGCCCCTAGTTCCCTCTGCTTTCTCATATTGTCTGCCTTCAATCCCGTGACAGTGTCATCTTGGACAAAGCTTTCTCTGGCTGTACCTGGATAATTTAGATAATTTCTGCTTTCTCATATTGTCTGCCTTCCAACCTGTGACAGTGTCATCTTCTGGACGAAGCTTTCTCTGACTCTACCTGGATAATTTAGATAATTTCTTCATTTGACAATTACATATGTGTGTGTGTATATATGTATATTTATCTCAGCTACTGTGCTCTGCCCTTTCTAGGCCAGACTACCTAATTTGTAGAGCCTGGTACACAATGAAAATATAGGGCCTTTGTCTAAAAAACATTGAGAATTTCAGGTTGGAGATAGTGTCTGAAACCATGTATACAGTGTGTGCTCTGATACATTTATATATTGTAATGTGATTGCCACTCTAACAATATTTATCATGTGACATAATTATAGTACAATATGGTCTATATTCATTATACTGTGCATTAGATCTCTATGGTTTATTTAACTACTTGTTGCAAGGGAGCCTTCTAAGCATGGGGACCTGGAGGATTCCATGGGTCATATGCTCCAGAGGCCAGCCCTGGGCTTATCTCTGTGCTTGCCTTACAACAGCACTCTGACACCGACTTGTAATTATCTATGTGTGCACTGAGGTGTAGAAAGACTGTATGTGTCAGAATGCCGTATAGGACCGTGAGGTCTGTGGCTTGGAGAAGCTTTGTTAGGATGGGAGCCAGCTTCCTGAGGAGCACGCACCCCTGCACTGGATTTTCACTAAATGCCATTAACATTTTTTTTTTCCATCAGTAGCAGGGCTCTGGCTGTTTTGCAGTGTAGAGTATGCAAGTTTATGTTCAGAGCTGAAGCAGTTGGCATTGTAGGCAGAGGAGAAGCTGGCTGGCATGTAGGGAAAGGACGTAGGAAAAGGACAGAGCTGTGGCAGAGATGGAGAGTGGAAGGGGTGGCTCATCCCATGATCACACTGGGAGAGTCATCTATGGATGTGTAACATGCTTGTGCCCTGTGCCCCCGTGACCTGCACTACTGGACCCCAGAGAGACCAAAGCTCTGTGAAGGAGCTGCCCCTTTGAAGGACACAGAAAATTGTTGAATCCAGAATCAAGATGGAAACTCTCAGCCTAATTTTTGTTCATGCATCTCTGTTTCTTCTAAGAGATGACAGTCTCCAGTCAGTGATGATCAATATTGATTGAGTGGAGCAATTTGGGCCTTAAACAGAGCATGTCTCTCAGTGGCACAGTTGTAGCCAGTGTTACAAAATGAATGGAAAGACAGGTGGGCAGCAGTTTGGGGAGCTTTTTTTAACGTAGAAGAGCCCTGCAGGGGCACTACGCCCTCTAATGTCAGGAACTGTAATGAAAAGTGGGTGCAGAAAAGGCAGATCAGCTGAAATTTGCTTTCCTCTCAGACTCACACTGCTCTTTCCTGTCCTCAAACTCCTCAATTTCTGGGCTCCCCCAGCGTCTCTTGCTGGGTTTCTTCCATGGCCTTAAGAGACTGGGGATAAGAGAGGGAGGGAATTCTAATCATGAGGATTAGTTTGAGGGGACTCCCCTTGGTCAAGACCTGATTTTTTAGGGACTAACAATTTCCAACAGCCCTCCCAGATGGGGCTCTCTGTTGTGCTGGATTATCTCTTGAACTTAATCTTTAGATAATAATTAAGACTTGGAAAGTTGGTCAATGAACAGATGCTGTTTCTAACCTCCTTCTAGGTATTTACACCTCAAGCCGGGCAGCTGTGACCGTGGGGTGGCTCAGAGGTACCATTTGAAGTAGCTGCTGCTTTGATGTTAAGTCTAATGGCCTGGAAGAGCTGGCCATTGTAGGAACAAGCTGTGCCACACTTGTCCTGGGTATCCTGTACTCCCCTGCGAATACCCTTTCCATGCTGTGTGCCCCCACCACGTCCTCTCTCCTGTTAGCACATAGTTTCCTTGTTGACCTTTGTGTTTGTCTTGTTCCTGACTATGGCCTCAGCTTGCTCTTCCCTTGCAGTGGGGTGCAGATGAGTGTACTAAAGAAAGACTCCTTCTAACGTTTGACTAAATCAGAGGGTGGGGAGCCTTTTCTGAAGGCCTCGGAAGCAGGACGTCTTAGAAATAAGGAGGGCCTGTGGAGGAGGATAAAAAGCCTCTCTCCTAAGACTCTGTACCCCTGCTCACTGTTGAGAAGGAGCCAAGGTCTCAGCTGCCTTTTCTCTTTGCAGGTCGGATTGGTATAATCTGATCCCTGCATGGCTAAGACACCGGCAGTCAGGGCTGCAGGCCAACGGCCAATACTTCATGCTGGAGGACTCCACTTTCTGGATCTTTGGGGGCTCCATGCACTATTTCCGGGTGCCCAAGGAGTACTGGAGGGACCGCTTGCTGAAGATGAAAGCCTGTGGCTTGAATACCCTCACCACGTGAGTGCTGCCCCACCCCACCACCAAGCATGGGCATCTGTGGCATCTGTGTATTGGGCTTCTTTAACGCAGCCCAGACTGTGGGTCTCCATCTGGCAGGATCAGCCCTGCCAGATCCTGAATGTGAGCTGTCCCTGAAGAGAATCTTTGGGCTGAATTTTGTGAGGAAAAATATAGGAGGAGCCCAGTCCTCTGCACAGGACTGCCAGGTACGACAACTGCCTTCCCTCACCTGCACAGCGCTCCCCGTTTGTGAGGATGAGAAGACAGGCTGGATGCATAAGCTTTAGAGGAATAGAAAGAGCAATGGCATACAAAGGTATACAGTGAAGGAGGTGAGTGTAGGTGTAGGGGGTGATTAAATTATCGAATATATATACGTCTATATCTATTTACATCGATATATCTATATAGATAAATATACCTATATCTAGATAGATATAGATATAGATATATTTAAACAAACATACCACCCCATAGTTTATTCAGCAAATGAGTAAGATCTTTTTCAAAATAGCTTCCTTGGGAAAGCATTTTCAGGCAGAAATATGTGATTATAGATCAAGGATGTGGATTTTCTTGAACAGTTTATGAGGTAGCTTTGTAGACAATTTCTAAAAAGAATTACAGGAATGTTCTGGGCCATCACAACATAGCTGAAACAAATGTATATAATTTTCCAGAAAGATTACTTAAAAGGATCCATTTATTTGCATATGTAAATTCTGGTCCTAGGGGTACATTCACACATCATAGGAATCCTCAATCTTGTGGGAATATGGCAAGCTAAGCATTCTATGTTATTAAAGCTAGGTAATCTGTATTTTCTCAAACACGGAACTCCTGAGTCTGAATTGGAAGCAAGCAAACCTCTCCCTACACCTGAGCACGTTCTTTGCAGCTGGAGAGGGCTCCATTGGAAGCTGGGGTGGGTGGGGGTCCAGGAGAGGACCAGCTGTTACTGGTTACTGATGTGTGTTACTGTCATACATCACCCCATATCTCTGCCTCTTGAGTTGGGCCCTTTAAATAACTTATCTTCTAAAGAGAATACAAGGAAAGAATTCTTTGGAATTTTGGTTTCTTTAGTAAAAATAGGACTGACCACTGAGGTTTCCTCTTATCTTACTTTTAACTTTTTCTTTTAATAAATTACTTTTTTTTTCCTCTGATGAAGGAAAAATGAGAGAGGTGGGGAGGGAGGAGGAAGTAGGGGGAGTGGAGTGCATGCTCAAGCTGACCTGTGGTCCCATCTTAGGCTTTACTGAAATCTTACTGGCCTTCTCTCACTTCTCCTAAGGAGATGACATGTTAGCCCCCACACCCCATCCAGAGACTGGCCCTGGATTCTCTAAGGTCCCTAGATCTCTTCACTTAGTTCTTGGTTACAATCCTGACACCATTACAACAATGTACCTAATATATCCTCAGGCATTTTAGGGATAAAGAAGGTAATCTAGATGACAAAGTGGAATAAATGAAAAGCTCAATCCTGTAATTATCTTCTATTACAGCTATGTTCCATGGAATCTCCATGAACCAGAAAGAGGCAAATTTGACTTCTCTGGGAACCTGGACCTGGAGTAAGTGCTGTTGCTGCTTCTATGGCCTGGCCTGGGGTGGGGAGGCAGAGAGGTGACCCCTTGGGGTTGATTACGAACCATGGGACCATCTCGGTTCTGCTTTGAGAACCACAGAAAGGCGGGTCAGGAGCCTTATTCTCAGGACCCACATGCTATCTCGCGATGAACCTGTTACTCCTGGGGGTCTGGGTCTGCCTACTCTGAGTCCAAACCTCTTCACAGTAGCCCAGCAGTGCCTAAACCCCAGTGTCTGTCCTGCTTTGCAGTGTGATCCAGCCACCTGGGCTGGGACAGGGGTTGCCTCTCTATGGTAGCAAGGCGGTTGGGGTCAGGTTCACTGTTAGGACCCCCTTACCCTGTCTAATACCCTTCATTCTTATGCCCCCAGTGGGGCTGTGGAGAAGGTCCTAGTCTGGGAGCAGGTGAGAACCAAGCTCCCAGGGCCTCTGAAGGCAGGGAGGAGAGGAGCTGGGCAGCTCCACCACCTTGGGATGCTGGGCTTGTCTCCAGCCTCCTCCTCTGTGTCTTGAGAGTTGCTGACACTGACCTCCCTAGGGCCTTTGTGCTGATGGCTGCGGAGATCGGGCTGTGGGTGATTCTGCGTCCAGGCCCTTATATCTGCAGTGAGATTGACCTCGGGGGCTTGCCCAGGTGAGTGGGGCTATGTGGGGCTCCAGCTGTGGCTTGAACTGTCCTCTGTGCTTGTGCAAAATAGTGATTACAAATGTAGGTTTAATTTTGCTACTAAAGTATATTTTTCATTTTGTACCGAAATTCTTTTTCAGAATAAGTGGTACCAAAGGAGGCCATTTTAAATGATGTCACTTTATTTGATAAAGTATAAGAGAAACAAAGTAATGTTTTTGTTTTATGTTTTATCTTCAAATCTCAGGCTTTAGTGAATTATGTTAGGATGTGTAATCTCCAATAAGGTCAGTAGAGTTCTCTGCGGTTGGAGTAGAAATCTGGACAGTAATCACCTGGTACCACATTCATTCCTTGTCCTCATTATTACTGCCATTAACTTTCAACAAAAAAGACTTTCTTGTTAATAGGTATAATCTTTCCCATCCTTAGGGTGTTCCAGATGGTTAGATCCACTTTCTCTCTACCCCATGCTGCCCCAAGAGGGAGGAAGACTGGTCCTGTTTGCCTTGTGGGCTCCTTCGGGAATGGCCTCTCCCCACTGCACAGCCACCAGCCCAGGCCTTGTTTTCTCTTTTGTCTCCAGCGCAACCCAGCCCTACCCTAGGGATCCAAGCAGCCTCTATCTCCATTTCCTTTGATCCCTAGGATCACCTCCTTGTCTCTGTGCCCTTGACAAGGCTGTGCACACAGCCAGAGTGCCCTCCCCCTGCACCTAGGGATTAGAAATCTCTGTGTCAGCGATGTCCTCAGGCTCAGCTGGAGCTGCCAGGAGGACAGAATTTAAGTGTTAGCTCAGAAGCAGCGGGAATTCCAGCACTTAGCCCTCCTCCTGGGCAGCACTGTCCATTCATATCCTGGCATGTGGGCACACCCTAGGGAGGCCCAAATAGCAGAGACCCAGTGTTGATGAGAAGCTAGACCCTTCTAGGTGAGATGGAGGGTGGAGGTATCCGTCTCGAGGAAGCTGCTCTTTCCTCAGGCATTTTTACCTAACATAAATTGATCATTTTCTGACCTGTTCAGGGCTTCCAAATTAGGAGAACCATCAGAGCTTTTATAAGAAAATATAAGTGTTTTCTCAGAAATTTCAGGTGAGAAGGAAAACTTTCTGACTCCAGCTCTGGAAGGAATGATATGATCTGGGGAATGCAATCACAATGGACAAGTTGTGGAAAACATTCCCCTTCTTCCTCACCGGCAACTCCCCTGAGCTGAAGTCTGAAGAGCTGAGGAGGCTGATGCTAATGTGTCCCCCTCCCCCGCCAGCCAGGAGAGCAGTGGGGAGAAGTCTGATTAGCCTCTGATGGCCTCTGTGTCAGGAATGGTTTTCTGGGTGACACTGGAAGGTTGCATCTGGCCCCAGTGATTCCGTAACCCCTTTGGCTTCACTGCTTTGTAATGAGATTTTAGAGTAAATGCTTCAACGCTGGGCCTTGCGTTCAGTGAAAAGCTTTTCTCACACTGCCTGGCAGCCAGACCTATCTATATAGCCATAAAACTGGAAATAAAATCCCTAGCCATGCTGGTTGTCTTTTTGTAGGGAAGCAGTGCAGAGTGCAGGGCTGGAGCTGTGGCAGTGTTTGTCTCTGGATCTGTTTGCACAATCTGCCTTCCTGGCTGAGTGGAGGTAGTGGGGTGGGAATGGTCTCACTCCCCCCAGGACTCTGAAGCTGCTTTTCTCCCCCACCATCATCCTATCCAGAATAAACTCACAGACAGTGAAACTAATTCCCACCCCCCCTTTTATTCAAGCTGGTTACTCCAAGATTCTGGCATGAGGCTGAGAACAACTTACAAGGGCTTCACGGAAGCAGTGGACCTTTATTTTGATCACCTGATGTCCAGGGTGGTGCCACTCCAGGTAAAAGCAAGGAGCCTTCTCTTTGATCTTCAGCTGTCTCCTACCGGGAGTAAATAGTCCTAGGTGACTTCTCAGACTAGGGGCTCACAGTTCCTTTCAACACAGGAATGCATTCTTTTCCACTGCCTGAGATCTGTAATTGGAGGGGTTTGTAATAGTTGTCTTCTAAAAGATATATTTCGGTGTTGTCTTAGGTGGCAAAGTGCTGAAGGGATAGACAGGCTCAAGGACTGATATTCATCTTCACAGTGTCAGAGCTGCCACATGTGATGTCTTGGTAACTGAAAAACCCGCCAACTGGTGTTGTGCAAGTACCAGTACCCAGTACCAGTACCAGTGGTGTACTTACTGGCTCAGTCCTACATGGAGAGGAGCGTAAACGGATGGGCCCTTACCTGTAAGACAGCAGGAATTTTTGTGGTTATAAAATTACAGTTGATGACTTTTCAAGGTATATCTTTTGGCTACCTACCAAAAAAGTGCTGTGTGGTACACATTTTATTCAAAACATAGGTGATAAAAAATCAGTGTTGGGGAGAAAGTATCTTATCCTTGTATGTAATATTTGGAGGCAATAAAAAGGCAGGAATGGGAATAATTAATCCAATAGTATATAAAAATTAGAAGAATCATGCTGAGAAATTAGTACATTTATAAAAAAATTAGTACATCTACAAAAATTGCTGTTGAGTTGGGGCACCTGGATGGCTCGGTTAAGTGGCTGCCTTTGGCTCAGGACGTGATCCCAGGGTCCTACATCAGGCTCCTTGCTAAGCAGGGAGCCTGCTTCTCCATTTACCTACTGCTTCCCTTGCTGTGCTCTCTCTCGCTCTCTGACAAATAGATAAAATCTTTAAAAAACCATGCTTTTGAGTCAATCGTTTAGAATGTTCAGAGCACACACAGACCAAAGGAATTCCTTGACTATTTATAGGGTTGGCAAATAAAACACAAGGTGCTCAATTAAATTTGAATTTCAGCTAAACAAGGAGTATGTTTTTTAGTATAAATATGTCCTTAATATTGCATGGGATGTACTTACATTATAATATTCATAATTTACATAAAAATGTATTCATTGTAAATTCAAGTTTAGCTGACTATCTTGTATTTTTTACTTCTTAATTAAACCTAGAAACCCTAATCATGAAAGAAGTAAGAAGCCAGGAAATTATTAGCCTAGATTTTTGCAAGGAAGATGGGATTACTGAGATGATTCAGCAGTTTGTAGTAGATTGGGTGCTGGAGGTAGAGGCGGGGGTTGTAGGGAAGGTCATCCAGGAATATGGCTCAGAAGCATTCTTAAGTACGGAAGTAGTGTACCAGAAATTTAAAAAAAAAATTCTGGGTATAACATAATTATTTTGTTTTTTATTGTGGCAAAATATACATAACACAAAATTTACTACTTTTGCCATTTTAAAGTGTAGAGTTCACATACATTTTCATCGTTGTGCAAACAGTACTACCATCCATTTCCTGAACTTTTCCATCTTCCCAAACTGAAACTTTCCATTAAACATTAATGTCCCACCTCCCCTCTCCATAACCTCTGGCAACCACCATTCTATTTTCTGTTGCTATGAAGTTGACCACTCTAGGTACCTCATATAAGTAAAATTATAGTGTTTGTCCTGTTATGACTGGCTTCTTTTACTTAGCATGTCTTCAAGGTTCATTCGTGTTGTAGCACGTATAGCAGGTGTCAGAATTTCCTTCCTTTTTAAGACAGAATTATAATTTTTGTATGTCTGTATCACATTTTATCCACTCATTCATGAATGGACACCTAGGTTGCTTCTGCCTATTGTGAATAATGTTGCTATGCTAGTTAGTCTTACTAAAGTTTTGTCAATTTTGTTAATCTTTCCAAAGAACTAACTCTTGGTTTTGTTGTTTTTTCTCTGTTTTTTTTTTTTTAATTACCTATTATTGTCGCTATTCTAATCTTTATTATTTCCTTCCGTCTGCTACCTTTGAGTTTAGTTTGTTTCTTTTTTCTAGTTCCCTAAGGTGAAAAGTTAGATGTTGACCTAAGACCCTTTCTTCCTTTTTAATGTGTTTACTGGTATAAATTTCCCTCTTAACACCATTTTTGCTGCATCCTGTAAGTTTATGTTGAATTTTTATTTTCATTTGTCTCAAGATATTTCCTGATTTCTTTGAATCATTGGTTGTTTTTAAGAGTGTGTTGTTTTATTCCCACATATTTCTGGGAATTTGAGATGTGAGTTTTTCATTGTTCTTTTTGCTGTTGGTTTCTAGTTTCATTCTGTTGTGATCGGAAAAGATACATTATATGACTTCAGTCTTTTAAAATGATTAAAACTTGTGTTGTGGCCTAACATATGATCTGTCTTGGAGAATGTTCCATTTGTATACATTTGAGAAAAATGTGTATTGTGTTATTGGATGGACTGTTCTCTATGTATTTGTTAGGTTCATTTGATCTATAGCATTGTTCGAGTCGAAATCTAAGTCTTTTCATTAGGAAATTTAGTCCATTTACATTTAAAGGAATTATCGATAGGGAAACATTTACTTTGGTCATTTTTTGTTTGTTTTCTCTATGTTTTATAGCTTTTCTTTCCCGTAGTTCCTCCATTACTAATTTCCTTTGTATTTAGTTGTTTTTTTATAATTACAAGTTTTAATTCCCTTTTCATTTCTTTTGTGTATATTCTATAGTATTTTCGTTGTGGTTACTGTGGAGATTACAGATACTGTCCTAAAGTTATGACACTCTATTTTATATCGGTGCCAACTAAACTTCAGTTACACACAAAAACTACTCCTTTACACCTCTACCTCCCTGTATGGTATTTGTCTTTCTCTGACTGACTTATTTTGTTCACCATAATACCCTCTAGTTATATCCACATTGTTGCAAATGGCAAGGTTTCATTCTTTTTGACATTCACCTCTATTGGAGAACTTTGTATTTTCCTGTGGCTTCAAGCCACTGTCTAGCATCTTTTCATTCAACTTGAGGGATTCTGTGTAGCCTTTCTCATAAGTCAATTCTAGTGTTATCAAACTCCCTCAACTTTTATTTGAGAATGTCTTAATTTCTCCCTCATTTTTTGAAGGACAGTTATACTGGATGTAGAATTCTTGGTTGATAGGGTTTTTGTTTTTTGTTTTTTTTCCTTTCCCTTCAGCCCTTTGACTATATCATCCTTCTGTCACTGCCCTGCAAGATTTCTGGTGAGATATCCACTGATAGTCTTATTGGGGATCATTCATACATGTCAAGTTGCTTTTCTCTTGCTCCTGTCAAGAATCTCTTTTTGTCTTTGGCTCTGACAGTTTGATTGTAATGTGTCTTGGTTTGGTCTTTTTGTTAATGCTACCTGGAGTTAACTGAAGATTCTTGGATTTGTATATCTATGTCTCCTCAAATTTGAGAGGTTTCCAGACATTAATTCTTCAAATAATCTCTCTGTCCTGTTTCTTTCTTCTTTTTGGGATTTCTGCAATGTGTATATTTATCTGCTTATTGATGTTGTGTATGTCCCTCAGGTTCTGTTCACTTTTCCCCATTCTGTCACTTTTTGCTCTACAGACGGAATAATTTAAAATGACTTGTCTTCAAGTTTTCCCATTCTTCCTGTTTGAATCCATTGTTGAACTTCTATGGTGAATTTTTCTATTCAGATACTGTATTTTTCAGCTGCAGAAATTTTATTTTTTTAATACTTTCTCTTTACTGATATTTTCACTTTGCTGATATAGCCTCTTCCTGATGTCTTTGTCTATGTTTTCTTTAGCTCTTTGAAAAAAAAAAAATGTGTATGTGTGTGTGTGTGTGTGTGTGTGTGTGTGTGTTTTAAAATCTTTGTCTAGTAAGTCCAGTGTGTGTTCTTTAAAGAATGTTTCTAGAGATATACTTTATCCTTTTGAATGAGCTATGTTATGCTGTTTCTTTGCCTGTGTTTGTTGTTGTTGTTGTTGTTGAAAATTGGTCATTTGAAACAACAGTTACCTCTCTCAGTCTTTACAGACTAGCAGGGAACACCTTCATTATTTGGCGGGCTCCTAAGCATTAAGATCACAATGGAGTGATGGCTTTAGATCTTCTCAGATGTTTTCTGGGTATGTGTCTAGTCTGGCCTGTGTGTGTGTGCCACCTTTTTTTCCTCCTAATTTTCCCTGGCTACTTTTACATATCTTAATTTCCCAAAGAGTCTCACCTCAGTTTCTTTTCTTTCTTTCTTTCTTTCTTTCTTTCTTTCTTTCTTTCTTTCTTTCTTTTTTTTGTGGCCTTAGGTGTTCTATCATATTCCTCTACCTATAACCCCTTGTACCTGGCATACATGGGCCTTTAGACCCCCTGAAATTTTCACATGTTGTGATCTTCATTGCCTTGTATTGTTTCCAACCTGAGGTCCAAGCTATGCCATTTCCTGTATGAGCTCCAAGTCAGATGAGACAGAAACTAGTCTACTGGGAAGCCTACAGACAGTCCAGAATATTGCAAACAAGTTCCATTTTGCTCCTTCTGTCTTCAGGGAGGGAACTGGGGATTGGGTTGCTTTTTTCTGACTATGCCATGCTATGCCAGCGAGGAGGTGGGGCAAGGGTGAGGAAAAACACCAGGAGATTTCTTATGCTTTTAAACATGCATTTTTCTTGATTTGCTTAAACATTTCCAGAGCTCTTAAAAAGTTATTTTAGTCGGTCTATAATTGTTTATTCGATGTTCCCATAAGGGAATGAGGACCTGGAACTCCCTACCTACTCTGTGTCTTACTGACATCCTTCTCAATTATATTACCAAATCTTTTGAGACTTTTGCTTTCAAATGGAATTTTTTGCTGGTAACTGGTGATAAGTGTGGTGAAATTAGTACAGTTTCCACTACAAACTCAGCTTTTGATTATTTATCTCTTTCCCCAGTATAAGCATGGAGGCCCCATCATTGCTGTGCAGGTGGAGAATGAATATGGTTCCTATAACAAAGACCCCGCCTATATGCCTTACATCAAGAAAGTAAGAGTCAGTTTGGTTTATTTCTTCATATTCCTTCCTCTGAAATGTAGTATGGGCTATGATGTGACATGTTGGTCTAATTCTTTTCTCATATTAATACCACATTTCCTAGCACCATTTATTAATTTCCTAGCACCATTTATTAATTAGTGAATCCTTTCACCATACTTTTATTTCAGTGGTGTCATCACTTTTATCACCATTTATCAATTGAGTCTAATTGTGGGTTGTAGTACATATATGGTATTGCAGTGGCTGAAAATAAAGGGATGAAAATAAAGTTTCATTGAGTGTGATGACTAGTGAAGTCTCTCTGTAGAGGCTGCTCTCATTCCAGCATCTAATGCAAGGGTTCCCAGCTTCATGTGAACTTAAACATCACTTTAAACATGTGAACATCACTTTAAAAATCCCTGTGCCCAGGCCATCTACCATACCAATTAAATAAGAATCTCTGGGTTCTTATTCCAATGTGTGGGTTATTTTGAGAACCACTGATTTAATGTGTGGCAGATCAGGGTAGGGCAGGGCTAGATGACACTTGAAAGAACAGGGATATACTCTGCTCTGGTTTCTATCCATTTGTAGCTAAGGCCTTGAGCAAATGCCTTAATTTTTCTAAACCTCCATTTTCTCTTCTTTGAAGTTGGACTAATGAGAAAATTTGCCTCTCTGAATTGTGCATGTGTGTGAGATCACTTGGCTGAGGACTATTCTAGCCATATAGTAAGTAGTCAGTAAATAAGACTTTGATAGATTATTGGCAGTGGTTTTATAGTACTTAGAAGGACAGGCCATGGTGTGGGTTGAGGAAATGGTAAGTGGCCTTAGGGAATCCACCTAATTAAAGCTGCTTTAGCTTTGGCCCTTGATGTCAGCATCTCTTCTGCTGCCATAGGCAGATTCATTTTCCATTTGGAAATTACTTCAGTCCCTGCACACAGGCTCAAGCACTCCAGCTTATAGGCTCTCATGTAGTCTTGCCCCCTTCTTATCACCTGCAGAAAGCCCTGTCTCTAGGGAGCAAGCCTGTCTCCAGGAAGAGGCATTCCCAAAGCTGGGAAGGGGAGCTCCAGAATCAGCTTCCATTCTGATAGTCAAGCCCAACTGCAGCCTGTTTAGATCACACTTCCAGCTTCCTCTTTGCCTTTGAATTAGCTAGAAAGATCCCAGCCAGGCCTCAGGATTGGAGGGCTTCTGTAACTCCTTTCCTTGGACTGTCTCTCAAATGCTGGGGTTTCTCCAGAAGGTGTTTACTGTGTCCTGAGCTGTAGAGAAGGAGAGCTCTGCTGATGGGTGGAGGGGAGAGTGCAATCCCTTCAGGGGCTTCTCCAGTTCAACTTCCTTGGTGTCTGGGGAAGGCATCCACATGTGAGACAGATGCACAAAGAGAAGCTGCAGCTTCTGTCATCCTCCGTCATCCTGAGCTCTTGGGAGGATCCCCTCCTAGAGCTGCCATGCAGCTTTTCCTGGATATTGAAGATATACAGACACCATCAGCATAGGATGACCTTGGGTCGAACACCTGACCTTTTTGAGCCTTAGCTTCATCATGTGCTCAGTGGAGTTAAGAATGCCTTTATCCAAGGCTGCTCTGGGAATGAAGTGAGATTACAGACACAAGACCCCTACCTCTGTTTGACAGTTCACTGGTGCTCAGGAAATAGTAATTACCCCTTATGGTATGCAGTCAATAAAATAATGCTTGTGAAAAGTCAAGTGTAAATAGTATAGCTGTAAAAGAAGGTTACACCCTCCCAACCGACACGATGCTGTATGTGTAAGGTAGGAACTGAGGCAAAGCCTGTTATATATCGGCAAATGACTGGGTCGAGAGTTGTGAGGTGCCGAGTCCAGATTTTAATAAAAATCTCACCCTGCTTAATGAATTGAACTTCTGCAGCTTCTGTTGTTTCTGAGAATTAGGGCCCCCTCTGCTTGTAGGTTTTGGACATGAACATTATGTACCTACTGGATTATCTCTATCTCACCTATTTCCCAAAGAATTTGGTTAAAATAAGTAGTCTTGTCAAAATATCTGCAGGGAAAATTAGAGGACAGTTCCCCTTGCTGGGGTTTCTGATCCAGAAGAGCCCACAGCCCGAGAGCAGAGCCTTCCAAGGTGAACAGACTCTGGATTCAGGTCCATACTATCTTATTTGCTCTGTATCCCTTAACACTTTGTCCAACCTCTTTGAGGCTCTTTGTCTGTATAGTTATTAATTGAGAAGAGTGAATAGGACAGTCTATGTATTTAGCAAAAGGCCTGCCATGATTGTAAGTGGTTCATAAATGTAGCAGTTACTCTGAGTAGTAAAATGGTTACTGTCTTTCAGCACAGCGTGTGCTTCTTCTACTTCTTCATTTGATTGAAAACTTTCGAGGAGATCTTCCTGTTTTACTGGGCACATGCAGCATGTCTTGGGCATGTGACTGTGTTGAACAGAGCCCACCCTTGCCCAGTGTAGGGGAGGAATGGGCTGCTTCTTTCTGATGTGGGGGGAGCTGGAGGGTCAGGAGGGTCAGGAGGTCCTGACCTGCTCATGGACCCCCTGCAAGCTGGCCTCTGCATAGGCCCATCTAGGAACAGCACATTAGCGAGAACTGGCCCCTCAACAGATCTGTGGCAGCCAAGGGATTCCAGAGTCTGACAGCCCTGCCCTTTCCTCCGCTGGACTTCAGCTGATAGGAGCTTTGTTGAACATGTTGAGCATAAACAGGATAGGTTTCTGTCCACTTTCCATGGTGAAGTAAATGCTTTATTTTGAAACTTTCCTTCTTTCCTTTCTAACTGTCCCTTCCCAACTCTGAGGAACTTGTTTATTGACTTGTTTTCTTTTCCCCCCACAGGCCTTGGAGGACCGAGGTATTGTGGAATTGCTGTTGACTTCCGACAACAAGGATGGCCTGCAAAAGGGAGTCATGGATGGAGGTGCCTGCCTGGAAGCTGTGCGGGGGGAGGGTGGGAGGCAGCACCCTAGCCTCACTCTGCATTCTTCCCCAAATGGCCTGGGCCACCAGTGGAGTTTCCCTGATGTCTGAGCTTCTCCCATTTGCATGGCATCGGGCCTGAAGCTCTGGGCCTCAGAGGGTTGGAGGATCTGTGGCAGACGGATCTCTGGTCTCCCACTTCTGCTGAGCACTCTCTCAGGACACTAATAGTGCTCTGCAAACTGCAAGACGGGAATGGTGAGTTGGTCATCCTAAAGGAAGGTCTTTTTGAATGTCCACAGAGAAGGCAGAGCAGATGAATCAGGATGGGGTGTCCTGTTAGGGTGGCTTAGTCAAACCCTGCCAAAATCATGGAGATGGCTGACCACTGTCCAGCCCCTGTGGTGATGGCAGCTGGCTGGGCAGCAATTATACAGTAGTACAGGGCATCTGTTCCCCTTACTCTTTCTGTCTCTTTCTGTTACTGTAGAGGCACTGGCCCAGCTTCACCCTTGTGCACTAAGCCCCTTGTCCCTGAGCTACTCAAGGACATTGCTCCAGCAACTCCTGCTTCTGCCCTGGGTCATCAGATTTTCTCTCTCTATTGGGTCATTCCCATCAGCATATAAACATGTTGTTATTTCTCTCTTCTAAAACAACTCTATTGGCTCATTTCCCTATCCAGAGGCTGCTGTGTTTCTCTGCTCTCCTTTCAAGAGATCTCCCCATGCCATGCTCAATGGCTGCTACAGTCTGTTTCCTTTCCATCTCTCTTAAACCGTGGCGGTCATGTTACCCTTGCCATTTCACTGCCGCTGTTCTTTTCAGGGTTGCCAGGGACTTCCATGTTTCAAATTTAAATGCTTGTCCTTGTCGCCTCTGACCTCTCTGATTTTGTCAGCAACCATCAATCTCTTTCCCTTGAAGTGTTTTTCTTCCTTGGTGTCTGAGACCCAATTTCTTGGTTTTTCTCTGACCTCACAGGCTATTCCTAACTGATATCTCCCACTGGTCACTTCTCTGTCCCTGAGTTCTGATATTTAAATTTTTTACCCCTCACTTCTTGGAATGAATGTTCCTCCTTTCCTTACATTCACCACCCTGGTGATATGATCTAGGTGCCTTTAAGCCTGATGTGTGTGCTGATGAGTGTGAGACGCATATCACCATGAGCGACCTTCCTGAACTCTTGCCTCAGGTGTACATCTGCCTATTGCATACAGCACCCCAGAAAGTCTGCTCGTATCGCTGGAACCTGCCAGGAACTGAACTGTCTTCCTCCCAGGGCCTGCCCCACTTTCAGTCTTTTTCTCAGTAAATTGCAATTCCATTTCCCCCAGTTGCCCAGGCCCTAAACTTTGTAGGCACTCTCAGGGTATGCGTGACACACAGCAAATCCTTTTTTTTTTTTTTTTAAAGATTTTATTTATTTATTTGACAGCCAGAGATCACAAGTAGGCAGAAGGGAAGGCAGAGAGAGAGGAGGAAGCAGGGTCCCTGCTGAGCAGAGAGCCCGATGCGGGGCTCGATCCCAGGACCCTGAGATCATGACCTGAGCTGAAGGCAGAGGCTTTAACCCACTGAGCCACCCAGGTGCCCCAGCAAATCCTTTTTATCTTTAGTTTTATCTTCAAATTTATCCAGATCCAAGTAAGTTTTACCACTTCCGCTATAACCATCATTTTCATGTGCATTGTTGAAACAGCACTGAACTGATCTTTCTTCACTGTTGACGCCTGCACAACTTTTTCTCAACATGACAGCATTTGCAAATGTCATTTGGATCCCCTCAGGCCTCACCTTAACTGCAGGTTTACCTTGCCTTCCTCAGACTGAAGCACAAGTTATGAGAAAGTCCTCAAAGGCCCTCCTTTGGCCTTTGACCTCTGTGACCTGTCTAGGTGTCTCCTGGTCCCCTTCCCCCTGCCATCCTGTTCCACTGTCCTCCTGGCTTCCTATCTGTTTCTGGAACATACTGGACACCCCCAGCCTTCCTGCAGAGCCATTTATGGCTGTTCCCTATCCTCCCACTTTTCTGCCTGGTCACCTCATAGTGAGGCTTCCCCTGAGCACCCATTTGAAATACAGCTGCTTCTGGAGTTCACCCAGCCCCTCGGCCCTGCTTTATTTTTGCCTTCTAACATTCTAGATAGTTTCTTTGTTTTATTTACCTGTTTGCGGCTGTAAGTTCCACCAGGGCCTGGATTCCCTCTTGTTTGGCTGTGCCCCTGTGCCTGGACATGGTTCATGCTCATAAGGACGATGGTGGTGGAAGGGCCTCCTATCAGCTGCCTGATGCTTCCTGAGGGCTCCCACCAGCTTACTGCATGGCCAGACGCCGCGGTTCCGGTTCCTTCGGCGTCGCCCTCCCCTCTACTAGACTGAACAGATAGGGCCTTTCATCTCTGCAGCCCTAGGCCAGCGACGGCCTGCGGGGGCCACTCAGGGTGTGACTTGGATGAATGTGCAAGAGAAGTCAGTCCCTTTCCCCAAACCCACTGGGTTTCTCAAGGACCAGCAGCGATTCCCGCCACTTCCACGCGATGGCACTTGTCCCCTTCTGTCCGCTTCCAAAGCCTCCGCCGGCCCAGTCCTTCCGGGGGGCCTGGGAGGGGCTGCGGCCAGGGCCGGTAGGCAAGTCTCTTTTGGAGACTGCTGCACAGGTTTAGCGCGTCAGCACGGTCCTGAGCAAGGCCTCCAGGGCATGGAGGGAGTCAGCGAGGCTGGCCGTGGGACTCCAGGCCCTCCTCCAAGGCCCGCCCCCGCCGTGCCCCACTCCCCGCTCCCGCCCCCCACCCGCATCCCCCCCCCGCCGCCCCCACCCCCCTTTTTAAACAGAGGGGGCCTCCCCGCCTCTCCGCCTCCGCACCCCTCCCCGCCTCCGCACCCCTCCCCGCCCCCCACCCGTCTCCTCGCCCCCTACCCGTCTCCTCGCCCTCCGCGCCTCCCAGCCTCTGTTCTCTAGGTGCCGCCTCCCTCCAACCCTCCACGCCGTGCCTCCGCCCCTGCCTTGCCTGTCTCCCTGCCTCCGCCCTCTCGGTGCCGCCTCCCTCCCCGACGCCCCGCCCCGCGTACCCCTTCATCTCCTTACCCTCTTCTACCCCCCGCGTTGGCGACCCCCCGCCCGCCCTTCCCTCCTTTCCCTCCCGGGGCCATGCACCCTAGCCCTGACCTCCTGAGCTCTGCCTGCTGTCCGCAGAACTTTTCTCAATTACTTAAAAACGTAATTAAAGTAAAGTGTAAAGTAAAGATACCAGAAATGCTGCCTCCTCCTTCTCCTCCTCCTCCTCCCCAGCCGCGACCCTGGCCGGTGCCTTCCGGCTATTCTGACCCGGTGGGTGCTGCGGTGCGAGCGGTGTTCGGGGCAGTATTTGTGAAATGACTCGCTTTCGGTGGGGTTAGTTTTCACTTTCGGTGTATTTATCCCGTTTATTTTTCTTTTCAATTCTCTTTTCTCTCCCCTTTCTCTTTTATTGTTATTTTTAAAGATTTGACTTGACACACACACAGCTGACACACGTTACATTAATTTTAGGTGTTCCCTACACCTTCTCTTTAAAACAAACCCTTTAGGGCGCCTGGGTAGTTCAGTGGGTTAAGCCGCTGCCTTCTGCTCAGGTCATGATCTCAGGGTCCTGGGATCAAGTCCCCCATCGGGCTCTCTGCTCAGCAGGAAGCCTGCTTCTCTCTCTCTCTCTCTGCCTACTTGTGATCTCTCTGTCAAATAAATAAAATCTTTTTAAAAAATAAAATAAACCCTTTACCAAAGATTTCCCAAACTCCTGTCACACGTGTTCCAAATACCTGTATATATCAGATTCTGTGTCATGTTTGGTGGGTCTGAGACCCCACCACCCCTGACCTGATGGAAGCCTGCTACCTGGCTTCACCGGAGGGAGGCTGAACTCTGGGTCTCCTGCCCCATCCCTTCTCTGCACTGTGCCCAGATTTTCTAGCACCCGCAGTCACTGCTGAAGTACAAGGACATTCTGGTTCCTGATCCTTTTATATGTTGTTGTTGGGGTGTGTGTGTGTGTGTGTGTGTGTGTGTGTGTGTGTTTCCTTCCCATTCTAGAAAATAACAGGATTTTCTCTTAATCCTCGGTATCCTGGTATTTCACAATGATGTTCTTTGGTATGGGATTTTTTTTTCTCTTCTGTGGAACTTTTGTGCGTTATTTGAATTGACAACAGTTGTGGTACTTGCCAGTGGAATATCCAGTTAGTGCATTTTTTTTGTATGCTTTCCTTTCTTTTTTCTATCTTTTGATCACTCCTGTTATTTGTAGATTGGACTCTCATATCTATTCTCTAAGTTGCTTATCTTTTTGATGTATCTCTGCCCTTTAGTTCCACTTTTTGGGTGACTTCCTCAAGTTCTGTCATGTAATCCTTCTCTTATTTCCTGCGTCTTGTTTTTCTTGAATATATTTCTTTTCTCATGGCATACTTTTAAAATGGACCCTATCTTTCTTACTTTGCTTTGAGGACATTTTACGTTATATATATATATATATTTACCAGTTCTTCTCAGTCTTCCATGTGAGGGGATTTTCTCAATTGTCTGGCTCTTGACTGAGCAGTTTAAAGAGGAGGCACTAAATGGCCAGTTGGAAGCTGAGTGCCAGAAGGGGCTGGGGAAGGTGTGCTTCCCATGGGGTGATTGGGCTGGGGTGTGCTCTTTCCAGGAGGGAAGGCGAAATGTTGGTGGTTGGAGATACTGTCTTTAGCTCTATTAAGTGTTTGCAGGGACAAATCCTTTGGTCTGTTGCTATAGCTATCCTGGGAGCCAGCAGGAGATATGGACAGGAATACTTTGGCTGATATGGCCCTTACTGATCTGCAGCACATCCCTTATTTCACACTTTGCTGTGCCAATTCCAACCTGGAGACATGTGGCCTCAGCTTTCCCAGAGAATGTGGTCCCCTGGGGTAGGGTTCCAGTGGAGAAGAGGTTTGAGGAGTGTGTGAGGCAGGGGAGGGAAGTGTGCTCCTGGCTGCACAGAGCCTGGGATCTGAGACAAGGACTGCAGCTGGAATTGGGGAGCTGGTTGAAGCTTCTTCCACTCTCCTGGGCCATTCACTGACCCACTGCTCTTTGCAGCCTCCTGAGATTTTCCTGAAACTTCCTCTCTGCTTTGTCTCCTCTCTAGATATTGTTCTTTATGGCCTTCCACCTTTGGATTCCTTTATTTTTATATTAGTGAGGATTCAGGAAGACTAGGAATAGATGCCATGTTGTTAGCCATGCTAATCCTGTTCACTCCTGAGATTTCTGCTTGCTTATTTTCAGACAGGCCTCCTGTCTTTGAGGTTCCTCCTTTAGGTGAGGAGGGGTCTGGATGTAGGGTCTTATCCAGGGGCTTGCTGGAGGATGGTGCTATCACAGGACAATGGGTCAGTGTCCGATGGGTCTGGGTTGCAGCCCTACTCTGTTGCTTACCAGTTGTGTGATCTTGAGGCAAGTTATTTAACCTCCTGGAGCCTCAGGTATTGTTTGTTTGTTTTTAATCACTGGTAATCAGTAGCTTATGTCCAATAGGAGAGTATCAGGGTAGCCAGCTTGGCAGGCTTGCTTAATCTCTTTCATGCATTCCCAGACCTGCTGGAGCTCAGGCCAAACCCAGTTCATGTGAGGCCTGCTGTCCAAGCAGACAACAGGCAGGCAAGGAGCCTCAGAAGCCAAGTTCTGCAGCTGGGGTAGGCCAAACGTAGCACATCTTTCTTGGGCATACCTTTCACTGATGCCATTTAAAATATAACTTTAAACTCGGGGCACCTGGGTGGCTCAGTGGGTTAAAGCCTTTGCCTTCGGCTCAGGTCATGATCCCAGTGTCCTGGGATCGAGCCCCACATCGGGCTCTCTGCTCTTCAGGGAGCCTGCTTCCTCCTCTCTCTCTCTCTCTGCCTGCCTCTCTGCCTACTTGTGATCTCTGTCAAATAAATAAATAAAATCTTAAAAAAATATATAACTTTAAACTAAAAAATGGACACATTGTGGGATGGAATAGAAAATTAGCCCTCATTTAAGAAATAAAAGGGGAGTCTTCATTTAGATCATTACTTTGCACTAGATGCTTGAGATGCAAAACAAAGATCAGACTCTAGGCTCCTATGAAAGAATAATTACCAGAAATGTACCCTCTGCTTGTAAAAATTACATTAGTCAAGAACAGATGCCTAGTGAATGATTGCCCTGTAAGCTCTGTGCTGAGTGGTGGAGTTTCTGAGAGGAACTAGATGAATCTCTTGACATCCGAGGAACTAAACTCTAACTGGAGGTGGGAAACAATGCCAAGGTTAATTTATTTTGCCGGTAAATTGGGAAAGATCTGGCTTAGCTCAGAAAGTCTCCTTGCCTTTAAGACATGCTTTGTTTCTCTTTCTCCTTCCCATTCACAGTGCTGGCCACCATCAACTTGCAGTCACACCATGAACTGCAGTTATTAACCAACTTTCTCTTAAGTGTGCAGGTAAGTCTGGCCCAGGGGCAGCTGTTTGCTCTGCTTGGCGTGCGTGTAGAAAGTCCTAGAGCTAAGTGGAGCCTCTGTCAGGAAGTGTACAGTGCTGTGAGGTACCTACAGCTATACCCAGGGCTCTGGGAGAGAAGGACTCTGGGCTCACTCAGACTTTCACCTCACAGCCAAGCTTCTGCACTGTGACTCTCAACCCCTGTGGCCCCTGTGTTGCCATGCCCTCAGGTAGGGAAGCGCTGTAGGAGTGTAAGTGTTTCTCCAAGGTGGTGTTGTATAGACTGATGCATGGATGTGGTTTCTTGCCTCTTGAGAAAGGGGCCCTTTTTGGAGGCCTAGGCTTAGTGTGTTCACAGAGGCTCTGGACTAGAATTCTGTGGACTCTATTAGCCCCAGATATGCTCATTTTGCGATTGAGGAGAGAAACTTTCCTGACCTATACTGTGTGTGTCTGACCTTAACCCATAAGACCCCCCTGGGCCTAGAAATATCATTGTCATCAGCAAGATGGGAGGCCTGGGCCGTTCCAGGTCACAAAAGAGAGGAGTTTCTGAATATAAGGTTCACATCCTTCAGGTTGATGGGAATTTATAGTTAAATCCTATTCTGATTGATTTCTCTTCTCTTGAGTTCACATGTCTCTCCTTAGGAGGCCAGTGGGATCTGGCCATGGTAGTGGCAGCCCATTCACAGAGCTGGGGCCCCATTTCTCACTGTCTTACTGAAGGGTGTGAATGCCCCAAACTGTCACCACCTATTAGGTGTAGGCATTGATTCCCCGGGCCTACTGTGGAGCTATTGGAACATGAGTATCCCCCATAAATGAAGAGATGCTGGGGCTGTTCTCCATTCTACCTGTTCATTTCTTGGAGCAGAAGTAGGCCCAAAGGCACATCCATATGAAATCACCAGGGGAGTGTGAAGCTGTGGAGCATGAGGGCCACCTGTGTGTATGATGTGACTAATACCTGAGTTTAGGAGGATAAGTGGAATGTGCAAGGCCGGTGACCAGGAAGAGAAGAGACAGGATGGGACCTGACGCCAGGCAGACTTTGTTAGGCCAGTGAAGGGAGAGACAGTTTCTCCCAGAGGGCCCAGGTCTAGCCACTTTTTCCTTTCTTTCCTTCCTCCAGTGTTGACTGAGTGCCAGCTCTGTGTGTGGAATGTGGCTAGGCCCTGTTACCTTGTGGTGACTAAGATGGCAGGTCTTTGCCCTTATGGGGTTTGTGACCTACCTGGGGAGATAAACAAAAAGAAACAATTGCCAAGCAACTAAATAGAATCGTACTTGAGTGCTGTCTAAGGCAGGTATAGAACACTGTGAGCAGTCTCTGCCTACTGGATAGAGAGTGTCACCTCTCTGTGCTTCTCTTTCCACTTCTGTGAAGTGGGGATGATGATAGTACCTACTCATGGGGTTGTTTGAGGATCAAATGAAGTAATATTTGGAAAGCACCCAGGAAAGCAAGGTTTCATGTTGTTTCCTTTATGGTCATCCTTAGATAGGGGCCCCACACCTATGTACCCAGGCCGGGTCATCCTGCTGACAGACAAGCTCCATTAAACGGCCTTTCTGTCCGCAGTTCAGTGATGTCTGTTTTCGTCAAGAAAGGGGACTTCGATCAGAGTCTGCTTGGGATGATCAAACAGGACAGGCGCAGCTCTGCTAATCTTTGGGATGTCCAACAGCACCCCACCGCGCCCTCCTGTGCATGTCTGGTGATGGAGATAATTAACATGAGTGTTTCTTGAGTACTTTCCAAGTGCTAGGCACCATGTGCTAAAGGCTTTATGTGCATTATTTCATGTAATTCTCCCAGGAACCAGGTCAGCTGACTACTGTGGTCATGGATGTGTAGTTAGGGAGACAGATTTGAGAACAAAAAGAGCACCCAGTAAGTGGCACGTGAGGAGGCAGAGCACAGTCTGACTGAGGCAGAACTTCATCTCTTAACTACAACATGCAAGGCAGTGACCTGTGCCGCTGGTGGGCGCCCCAGTTCTTGACCCTGGCACCCTCAAGTCAGGGAGCCCCCTCTTAACTGTGGAGACTATTGACATGTGGCACAGAGAATCTACTTCTCCCTTAGGGACTTAAACATGGTACAGTGTATCCCCTTTTTGGGAGGTAGACAGCCACCAGCCTTGCTAAAAAAATTATTGTGACTACTTTGGCTTTTCCTCTGGCATGGTTGGTATCTCCTACTCAGCAGATAATAAATCTACCCCATGAGTCTGGACCAGATTTTGTTGCTCTGTATGTGTTGCCCTCTAAATGTAAGGCCATCACTAACGGAGGAAGTACTTGATGAATGAGGACAGCTCTCTGGTGTGGAACTGAAACACCAGCATGTTAGTCCTTATATCTCCCCCCTGATGCTCTGGTGCTCCCGCAAACACAGCATAGTAACAGTACAGTGGAGCAAGGTTCTGGGAATCGTTTCTACATCCCTGGGGCAACCCCGCACCAAAGGCAGTATTCTGAAGTAATATTAAGGATTTAATTGTTATCAAACATCCTAGCCAAGGTATGGAGCCAGATTCTGAGGCTGCAGGGCCTGTACCATGACTCACTGTGCTAAATAACCCCCTGATTTTCGTGTCCAGTTTTGTAAACTTATGTTTAAGCTAGACCTCAGAGAGGGGCCCTCTCTATAGCCCTCTGACTCTTCCAGCTAAAGGGAAACAGCAGCTGAGGGGTCTCCATTTCTGCCTGTCAGAAATGGAATTATCCTGTTAGAACATTCTCTTTCCCTGAGAGAGGATAGGCAAAGTGTGGTTTGACCCAGAAAGCCATGTAGGAAAAGTCTCCCAGAGTACATGCTGCATTCTGATGCAGGCTTATATCCCTGTGTTCTCTTGCCAGCTCCGTATGTAACATTAAAACCACATTAAGGCATCAGGGTCTCCTGCACCAGCTTTGGTAGTTCATTCCACTTTCTACCTGCAGTGTGGAGGCCACATGTGGAAGATAAGCTGGTGCAGATGCCTTTGGTCCTCACCTGTGCACTGCTTTTGATGGCTCTTACAGCAAGGAGTGTGTGGTCAGGGAAGATTTGGAAGGGTAGAAGGGCTGGGATTTCCCTGAAGGAAGAACTTCCCCTTGCCTCTTTTGGCCAGCTAACTTCTCATTTTGTGATGCGCAGAGGGTTCAGCCCAAGATGGTGATGGAGTACTGGACAGGATGGTTTGACTCGTGGGGAGGCCCACACAACATCCTGGATTCTTCTGGTAAGCGCTTTGCGGTACCTAAACCCAGCATGTGTATTGACCTATGAAATAAAAATCAGTTCCAAATAACCTGCTAATTGATGTAAATGAGCTGTAGGGTACAAGGCTCCTGGATTATCTGCATGTCATAATCAGCTGTTGATATTCCAGAGTCACGTGTCCTGACATTTGACGTGAATGGTAGGACCCTTAACACTGCTTTATCATGTTTTTTATAATTAGATAAGCAGTGCATGCCTATTGCAAACACCCAGCAAATACAGAAAATGTAGGAAGAAGAAATAAAAAGCCCAGAGCCCAGAGAAAACAAATACAGTTGACCTTTGAACAATGCGGCAGGTAGCGGTGCTGACCCCCTGCACATTTGAAGTCTGGGTATAACTTTGACTCCTCCCAAACTTAACAACTTATAACCTACTATTGACCAGAGATCTACTGATAGCATATAATTGATTAACACATATTCTGTATGTTATCTGTATCATATACTGTATTGTTATGATAAAGCCAGCTAGAGAAAAGACAGGGTTATGAAGAAGATCATAAGAAAGAAAAAATACTTTACAGCACTGTACTGTAAGAAATCATGCATAAGTGGAGCTGTGCAGCTCAAACCTGTGTCGTTTGAGGGTCAGTTGTATACTGTGCAGGCAGTTCTGTGTGTCTGTCTGCAGCCCTAAATTCATGCACAGAGATATGGACACTTGCAATCCTATCTGCTCTTTGTTACTTGCTTGTGCCCTGATGGACACAAATGAACAGACTTCTATGAGAGATTCCATCACCGTTTTAAAGAACAGAAAGAACCCTGTAGTATTGATGATTAAACAACAATTTATTTAGCCATTTTCTTATTGATGAACATTTAGGTTGTTTCCAGTGGTTTTTGTTAATTGAATGCCATTGCAGCGACCATGCTTGAACATCCAGTTTTGCATACCTGGCATATTAGTGCCCTAGAATAACCGATAGAATTCCCTAACCAGTGGAATGCTGCATTAATTCAATTTTGATATATATGTACCAAACTGCTCTTTCAGAAGACTACAGCAATTCTTACTATTATTAAATGAGAATACATATTCCCCACAGATTTATTGACACTGGTTATTAAAATAATTTTTAATATTTGTCAATCTGATTGCCTATATATATATGTGTGTGTGTGTGTGTGTGTGTGTGTGTATATGTTAATACTGTATATTTCTCCTTTGATGTTATCTTTCACATTTTTGGTTAATTCTATAATAGAGGCGGGATTGGGGAGGTGGTCAGAAATTACAGCTGCAATTAGGAGTCCAGTCTTTTGCACCTTACCAAGTGTGAGTAATTGTTGAGAAGTGTGGAGGTAGAAGGCTGCCATTGTTCAGACCATAGTCATTGGAGACTTGGCCATGGTGGAACAAACAACTAGAAGGCTTCAGCTTGGGGGCTTTGGTGTTTGCTGGCCCTTTTCTCTTCATACCCTTCATCTTCTGTGATTGCAGCTCTAGTGGAAGCTGAAGGGCAGAGCTAGGGAGTTGAATTTGATGGGGTTGGGGGGAGATCAGGAAAGCTGAAATGTCAACAGGACTTGTGGCTGGTCCTAAACTATGACTCGCTCTGCACATCCCCTTTCTCCCCTCCTCCTGCAGAGGTTCTAAAAACAGTGTCTGCCATCCTCGATGCTGGCTCCTCCATCAACCTCTACATGTTCCATGGAGGTACCAACTTTGGCTTCATAAATGGAGCCATGCACTTTCATGAATACAAATCTGATGTCACCAGCTATGGCAAGTATTCCCCAACACTGGCCCTTCGTGGAACACCCCACATTTGCATGTTTGGAGCTTTTTATGCAGAGTCCTTTAGGGGCAGTGTCTGTCACCTTTAATGCATTTGGTTCTACAGTGCCTGAGGAAGGGATGGTTTTTCTTGGATTATCAGTTTTAAACTTATAGAGCAGTAGGAGGTACTAAAGCCCACTGACATGCCTATGAGCCTTTGGAAGTCACTGGAGGAAGTGAAAGGTACAGCCAGGGTGAGGGAAGGTCCTTTGATGAAGGTAGCCTCTTCTCCCTACTCAGGCCCTTGAAATGTGTGACCTCTGAATCCTTTAGGTTGACAGTCCTCTGAAGTCAGGCAAGCTGCAGAAAATTGTGGGTCATGCCATGGCCATGGCACTGTTGGTGGTACTTCATAGTGTTTAGTACTTATTGTATTTGGACTGATGGCTCACACAACACAAAAGTGTTGTGCCTCCCAAATTGCTGGGGTGAGGACCTTGCTGCCGTACCCAGCTTCTCCTTTCTCTTTTTGCTGCTGTGGACACTGTTCTGTGACACAGGTGACCAGTGACAGCATTCTGGTGTCTTGCAGACTATGATGCAGTGCTGACAGAGGCTGGGGATTACACAGCCAAGTACTTCAAGCTCCGAGGTTTCTTTGGCTCTATCTCAGGTACCTGGAAGACAGAAGACTCAAGCACCAACTTGGGCCCTTTTTGCTCTGAGACTCCCTACCCTACCTCAACCCCAGTTGACTTGTGTGCAAGAATGTCCCTAGACAAGGACAGGCAAATTTGAGAGACTGTTTTCTTTATCATGGTCTGTGTGTCACCAGCTTCACCTTCCAATGGGTGTTAAGACTCCTGAGGATATGAGGAAGTCAAGTCCCCTGCACCCCCCACCCCTGTGGTGCTTTTCTAAGTGGGGCCAAGCAGTCTAAGAATGTTTCCCTCTTGGCTCTAGGATAAAGGAGCACACTGAACTGCGGAAAGGAGCCAGGGCCTGGGGAGGTTGGAGGTGGCAGTGATTTTGGGTCCTCTTGGGATGACCCTATTGTCTGTGTTGCAGGTGTCCCTCTTCCTCCCCAACCTGACCTTCTTCCCAAGACTGCGTATGAGCCCTTGAGACCGTATTTATACCTGTCACTGTGGGATGCCCTGAAGTACATGGAGGAGGTGAGTGCCTTGGGGCAGGGAAGCTGGGACTGTCACTAGGTGGGCCAGTGGGACTGTGGAGGGAGAAAAACGAGTATTTGATAGCTTTAAGGTCCACTCTGACTTTAGAGCTCAGAGGAAAGAGAATAAACTTGCGTTAGTGTATGGAGTGGAAAGGAACAAAAAGAACTTGAAGAAAAACTGGGTAATACAGTAGGTAGTAGTCTCTCTCCAGCCTTGGTGGACAGGGAGAGGGTAAAGAGGCATGTGAATGGGCTGTATCCCCTCTGAGAAGAGGGTGCACCCCTGGAGCTGACCCAATGGAGTGCAGTGATGTAGAAATGAAGGCAGGTTGAAAGGCTACAGGTCTGGTACATTTCCAGGCTTTGTTCTATTGTTATCACACATCTGCCATCCCTTTGATCCTGGACAGCCTTAGGGCTAATGAGATGAGAAGTCAAAAATCAGAATTTTGGAGCTTGGAGAGCCTATCAGCTGGATTGGCTCTCCATGTTTGTATAGTGAGAGGTCAAACTAGAAGAAAAGGTTAGAGGGTCTCTTCCCCCAACCCCCTAGTCCCAGGTGGGGATCTGTCTGCTACCCTGCATTCCCCCAGAAGTCTCAAGGTGAGGTTGCTGCCTCTTTTCTCCTCTTCCTAGCCTTATCTCCCCATATTCTCCTCTATGCAGCCAGTCAATTCTGAAAAACCAGTCAATATGGAAAACCTGCCAGTAAATAATGGAAATGGACAGTCCTTTGGGTACACTCTGTATGAGACCACCATTGCTTCATCGGGCATCCTTAGTGGTCTTGTGCGTGACCGGGGACAGGTAGGGGTGATTTCTCTTTTTAAAAAAAAAAAATATTTAAATTCAAATTAACTAATATACACTGCATTATTAGTTTCAGAGGTAAAATTTAGCGATTCATCAGTTGCATGTAACACCCAGTGCTCATATATTCACGTGCCCTCCTTAATGTCCACCACGCAGTTACCCTATCATTCCACCCACCTTCCCTCCATCAACCCTCTGTTTGTTTCCTATAGTTCAGAGTGTCTTATGGCTTGTCTCCCTCTCTGTTTTCATTTTACTTTATTTTTCTTTCCTTTCCTTTATGTTCATCTGTTTTGTTTCTTAAATTCCACATGAGGGAAATCATATGGTATTTGTCTTTCTCTGACTGACTTATGTTGCTTAGCATAGTACACTCTAGCTCCATCCACATCGATGCAAATGGCAAGATTTCATTCTTTTTGATGGTTGAGTCATATTTTATTGTGTATATATATATACCACATCTGCTTTATCCACTCATCTGTCAATGGACAACTGGGCTCTTTCCATAGTTTGGCTATTGTGGACATTGCTGCTATAAACATTGGAGTGCATGTGCCCTTTCAAATCACTATGTTTATATCCTTTGGATAAATACTTAGTAGTATAATTGCTGGGTCATAGGGTAGCTCTATTTTTAACTTTTTGAGGATCCTCCATACTGTTTTCCAGAGAGGCTGCACCAGTTTACATCCCCCCGTTCTCCGCATCCTCACCAACATCTGTTGTTTCCTGACTTATTAATTTTAGCCATTCTGGTCACTGTAAGGTGGTGTCTCATTGTGGTTATATGCATTTTTTCATGTGTCTATTGGCCATTTGTGTGTCTTCTTTGGAGATGTCTGTTCATGTCTTCTGCCCATTTCTTGACCAGATTTTTTTGTTTTTTGGGTGTTGAATTTTTTAAAAAAAATTTATTTATTTTTAAAATTTCTTTTCAGTGTTCCAGAATTCATTGCTTATGCACCACACCCAGTGCTCCATGCAATACCTGCCCTTCATAATACCGACTACCAGGCTCACCCAACCTCCCATCCCCCACCCCTCCAAAACCCTCAGAGTTTTGTGCAGAGTCCATAGTCTCTCATGGTTCGTCTCCCCCTCCAATTTCCCCCAACTCCCTTCTCCTCTCCATCTCTTGGGTGTTGAATTTGATAACTTCTTTATAGATTTTGGATACTAGCCCTTTATCTGAGAAGACATTTGCAAATATCTTCTCCCATTCCATAGTTACCTTTTAGTTTTGTTGACTTTTTGCTGTGCAAAAGCTTTTTATCTTGATGAAGTCTCAATAGTTCATTTTTGCTTTTGTTTCTCTTGCTTTTGGAGATGTGTCTAGCAAGAAGTTGCTGTGGCCAAGGTCAAGAGATTGTTGCCTGTATTTTCTTCTAGGATTTTGATGGATTCTTGTCTTATATTAGGTCTTTCATCCATTTTGAATTTATTTTTATGTATGTTGTAAGGAAGTGGTCCAGTTTCATTCTGCATCTGGCTGTCGAATTTTCCCAACCCCACTTACTGAAGAGACTGTCTTTTTTCTGTTGGATATTCTTTCCTGCTTTGTCAAAGATTAGTTGACCATAGAGTTGAGGGTCCAATTCTGGGTTCTCTATTCTGTTCCATTGATCTATGTGTCTGTTTTTGTGCCAGTGCCATACCGTCTTGATGATTATAGCTTTGTAATAAAGCTTGAAGTCTGGAATTGTGATGCCCCAGCTTTGATTTTCTTTTTCAACATTACTTTGGCTGTTTGGGATTGTTTCTGATTCCATACAAGTTTTAGGATTATTTGTTCCAGCTCTGTGAAAAATGTTGATGGTGTTTTGATAGGGATTATATTGCTTTAAGTAGCATGTACATTTTAAGAATATTTGTTCTTCCAAGCCATGAGCATTGAATGTTTTTCCATTTCTTTGTGTCTTCCTCAATTTCTTTCATAAGTGTTCTATAGTTTTCAGAGTATAGATCCTTTATGTCTTTGGTTAGGTTTATTCCTAGATATCTTCTTATTTTTGGTGCTATTGTAAATGGGATCAATTCCTTAATTTCTCTTTCTTCTGCCTCACTGTTAGTGTACAGAAATGCAACTGAACTCTGTGCATTTGTTTTATATCTTGCTACTTTGCTGAATTCCTGTATCAGTTCCAGCAATTTTGGGGTAGAGTCTTTTGGGTTCTCTACATAGAATATTATGTCATCTGTGAAGAGTGAAAGTTTGACTTCTTTGCTGATTTGGATGCCTTTTATTTCTTTTTGTTCTTTGATTGCTGAGGCTAGGACTTCTAGTACTATGTTAAGCAACAGTAGTGAGAGTGGACATACCTGTCATGTTCCTAACCTTAGGGGAAGAGCTCTCAGTTTTTCCCCATTGAGAATGATATTCACTATGGGTTTTTCATATATGGCTTTTATGCATGTATGTTCCCTCTATCCCTACAGTGTGGAGAGTTTTAATCAAGAAAGGATGCTGTATTTTATCAGATGCCTTTCCTGAATCATTTGAGAGGATCATATGGTTGTTGTCCTTTCTTTCATTAATATGATGTATCACATTGATTGATTTGTGGATGTTGAACCATCCTTAAAGCCCAGGAATAAATCCCACTTGGTTGTGGTGAATAATCCTTTGAATGTACTGTTGGATCCTATTAGCTAGTATCTTGGTGAGAATTTTTTCTTTATTCATGTTCATCATTGGTCTGTAATACTCCTTTTTGGTGGGGTCTTTTTTGGTTTTGGGATCAAGGTAAGGCTGACCTCATAGAATGAGTTCAGAAAGTTTCCTTCCATTTCTATTTTTGAAACAGTTTCAGAAGAATAGGTATTAATCGGTATTAATTCTTCTTTAAATATTTGGAAGATTCCACTGGGAAGCAATCTGGCCGTGGACTCTTGTTTGTTGGGAGATACTGATTCAATTTCTTTGCTGGTTATGGATCTGTTTAGGTTTTTACTTCTTCCTGGTTCACTTCCTAGGTCACTAGGAATGCATCCGTTTTATCCAGATTGTCTAATTTGTTGGTATATAGTTGCTCATAATATGTTCTTAAAATTGTTTATATTTCTTTGGTGTTGGTTGTGATCACCCTTCTTTCATTCACGATTTTATTTTTTTGGGTCCTTTCTCTTTTATATTTGATAAATCTCACTAGGGGTTTATTGGTCTTACTGATTCTTTCAAAAAACCAGCTCCTAGTTTCCTTGGTCTATTCTACTATTTTTTTAAAATTCTATACCATTAAATTCTCCTCTAATCTTGGGGTATCTTCTCTTATTTCCTGTGACTTTGTAGTCATCAAGCCCTACCAAATGCATCTGACTCTCTCTCCTCACATATCTGCCTGTTACTAGAAATGGCCCATCACCATCAGCTCTGCCATCCTTATCAGCTATAATCATGGGCATTCATTTTTCTTCTGTGCTTGGCTAACCCCTGTTTCCACTGCACATACATAGTGTTACCCCTTTCCTTGCTTATCAGAGATCCCTTCTATGCCTCCCTTCTGTTGACACATGAATGCTTTCTGTCTGTTCATTTGCAGGTATTTGTGAACACAGTGTCTGTAGGATTCTTGGACTATGAAAGGAAGAAGATTGTTATTCCCTTGATCCAGGTTTGTTATCCTGGGGAGCTGGGTGATGGCTAGCACCAGCTGCTTCCTGAGCAGGTTTGGTGGGAGTCAAAGAGGAAGACTTGGAAGACAGGAGGCTCCTTAACCACAGAGCTGCTGATGGAAAGAGGGGCAAAACATTGCTTTCTGATCAGTGGGTACTCTTTCATCCCCAGAGTTCAGGGAAGAGCTGGGGTTCCACAAAGAGACTCTGAGGTGCAGCTGTGATCTTATGGTTGGGTAATCAGGTGGTCATTATCGACCACTATGTTCCTGGCAGGGTTACACCAGGCTGCGGATCTTGGTGGAGAATCGCGGGCGAGTCAACTACGGGAATAACATTGATGACCAGCGCAAAGGTGGGTCATAGCACATGCTGAGAGAAGAGCTTCTAGTCCTCAGCAATGCCTCACTATCTCTTCTTCAAACCAGTGCACCAGCTAATGATGGAGGCTGACTGTAGTGAGGTGGAGTCATGGTGGCCCATTGGAGGGAACTGGGTTGTGGAAACCCATTGAAGGGAGGTGGGTCATGGGACCCACTGGAGAAGATTTGTGGAGGCCCATTGGAGGGAGGCAGGTAATGGAAACCCACTGGAGGGGGTGGGTTATGGAGACCCACTGGAGAGAGGTAGGTTGCAGAGGCCCATTGGAGGGAGCTAACTCATTGAAGCCCATGGGATGGAGTTAACTCACGGAAACCCACTGGAGAGAGGTGGAAGTGGGCCTTCTTAAAAGACCCATGTGCGTTCTGACCTCTTTCTTATGCATGTGGTTCACATGTCCATGGTGAACACACAGGGAACACTGAGCAAGCCTCTCCAGAGCTCCCTGGGTTGTAGTCTGCTTTAGCAGGGGACTATCTGCTGGGGCTGGGCTAGGGGTGGTGAAGCTTAAGTAAGGGGATTCCCAGGAAGCCAAAAATGGCATAGGACCCCTGCCTTCTTGGGTCTCCATACTGAGTTTTTCTTTTCCTTATTTTTTTTTTTTAGAGTTTTTATGTATTTATTTTAGAAGGAGAGAGAGAGAGAAAGAACATTCGCACATGTGAGTGGGAGGAGGGGAAGAGAGGGAGGGAAAGGGAGAGAATCTCAAGCAGACTCTGTGCTGAGCATGGAGCCTGACCCGGGGCTTTATCTCACAACCCCGAGAATATGACATGAGCCGAAACCAACAGTTGGACGCTTAACTGACTGAGCCACTCAGGTGCCCCAGAATTTCTTTTCTTGACCCATTGTGGAAACCCATTGATGATCTCATTTGTGGTGGGGAGGAGGTAGTAGTATATACAGTAAACAAAATGCTCTTGATGGAGTGCTCCCCTAGGAATATTCCAACTCATTTTATTTTTCCTGGTCTTCTAAACCTTCTCTGCTTAAGTTTGCCTCTTCCTTTTCATCTGTCAAAATGTAGGTGGTTTCATGTTATAACATAAGAATTCAGACAAATAAATACTACTATGGTAAGAGATGCTGGTGGCCTCCCAGCTCTCTCATGGGTGTTTGCCTTTGTAATGAGGAAACTTGTGCATCCCTTCCTTTCCTGCCTGGGAAGCACTGTGGCCCCAGCCATTGGGGTTTTCTTGGGTCCTGGGGTTTGGCTCTCTCCAGATAGGTTTCATGGTAGCTTCTAGCACTGTCCAGGCTTACCTTCCTTTCCCCTAAACAATCCCCCAGTGTTCCTCTCTGTATCTTCACTTCTCCTAAGGAGCTCCATCTCCAGGCCTATCTTCACTTCCTTCACTCTCCTGTCTGTGGGAAGGGATTGCCAGCCTTACCCTGCTCTCAGTCTTTGCCTCCCCACATTCCTGAATAAGATATGCTCTGGACTCTCACTGTGGAGTACTTATCCCTTGGAACAGTTCAGTGTTTATAAGTTACGGACCCCCCACCATCCATGCCTGTACCTGCAACTTAAGATTCTTCAGGCTCCATGAGACCTGTTTGCACTCCCCAGCCTATTCAAATTACCTCTCAAGAAACTCAGTGGCTCCATGATTGTGAGGACCATGGGAGCAGCTCCAGGACTAACATTGCTGGCCCCTTCCCCAAGCCACTAGCTAATGACTATGCAAGTGTGTGTGTGGATCCTTAGACTCAGATACTCAAGTCATGTTGCCATCTGTTCACAATTTAAATATTTATCTTCAGTCCTAGGTCATGTAGAAGATTTTTGGCTGAGTTATTAGGTCTGTTTAGTCTGGGACCCTACTGAATCTGACCTTGAAGCTAAGTTAGAACTGTTGTGACCTCTTGATTATCTGCCCTTTGGGCCTCATTTTATTGTGTTGAAATTCTTATCCCCAAATGGGAGCTTCCCCTTCAGAGAGAGACTAGAGATTGTTCTCACCCAGTGATGGTCTCTGCTCTCACTACCCTCGGAATTATTCTTCTGTGCAAATCCTTGGGAGGTCCTGGCAAATGCTGCTTTTTACTCATTCTTTTCTCCTTTGGGATTCCTAGAGAAGGTTTTATGCCATATGAAGAGCTCTGTAGGGAGTATATACTTCTGGAGGAATCCTAACTGGAACTTTTCAGAAATTCTCCATGTATGTGCAGGGCCTTAGCTGGGTCAGTTGTGCCCCTGCCTTTGACCTCATTCATGTTTCCTTGCCTCTTTCCCCACAGGTTTAATTGGAAATATCTATCTGAATGATTCTCCCCTGAAAAAATTCAGAATCTACAGCCTGGATATGAAAAAGAGCTTCTTTCAGAGGTGAGTCCCCACCCCATGAAGTGTGTGAAGCCATGGATAATGTGCAGTAAGAGCCAGGAAGTCCTGGAGAACTGCTCTGCCCTAGACCCTCCCACTCAAGTATAAACAGACCCAGAGCCCAGAGCAACTTGCCCAAGGTAGGGGCAGTACCAGTGCTAGAGACTAGGAAATTTCCGTGATACCTTAGTTAATTAACAGGTTGGGGGTGGGATTTGGAATGCCTTTATAATTAGATTTGAGACAGAGTCCAAATTTGAGAAAGTGTCCTCTTTTCTTTCTTGTCTTCCATTCTATTCATAGGTTCAGCGTTGACAAGTGGAGCCCTATCCCTGAAGTACCTACGTTCCCTGCTTTCTTTTTGGGTGCCTTGTCAATTTCCCTTTCCCCTTTTGACACCTTCATGAAGCTGGAGGTTTGTATCTCCTCCCTGCCTGGGTTCTCCAGTCTTCCCTCAGAGAGCTCTGAACCCAAGCCCTGTACCTGCTCTTGCTGGAGCCCTCTATACCATCTGCACGGAGAGATTCTCTGTGTTGGCCTCTCTGAAGGGCCTCTGGGGCCTTCCTTGGGTGGGGGAGTGGACTCAGAGCAGAAGAACCACCGGGTGGTACTTCTCAGGGTCCAGGTGTGCACTTGGGTACCTTGCTGAGGAGGCTCAAAGCTAGTGGATTCAGGAGATAGAATACCCATGTGTTAACCTCATGAGTGTTGAAATATTCATTCACACTGATATCTTAGAAGCTGAGAGAAGAGTATGGCATGTGTCCATCTCTGTCTTCCCATGTGACTTTATATTTGGTGGCTTTTGTGGTCAACTAATCCTTTTCCCATTCTGCTTAAAGGGCTGGGAGAAGGGGGTTGTATTCATCAATGGCCAAAACCTTGGACGCTACTGGAACATTGGACCCCAGGAGACCCTCTACCTCCCAGGTGCTTGGTTGGATCAAGGCAGCAACCAGGTGGGAGCACTTGCAACTTCTTCCTGCATCTCAGCCCTCCCCAGTATCACAGTGTTTTCCCAGGGAGGCCCAGATCACAGTCTGTTTAGGCTTGTTAGGGTGGGAGAGGGAGCAGAAGGTTTAGCCTGCCCCTTCTGCATTCCTCCTTGGTACCAACCAGTTGTGGGCGTGGTTCTCAGTCCCTTCCCCTAAGGCACTGTCATCTGGCTCCAAGACAAACCTCTGCTGCTGTCATATACCAGCACTTTTTTCCCCTCCAGGTTATTGTTTTTGAGGAGAAGATGGCAGGCCCTGTGATACAGTTCACTGAAACACCCCACCTAGGCAGGAGCCAGTACCTTGAATGAGCAGCACTGCCCCACGCCCCCTGGTGGTGGGAAGCAGGAGAGCACCACCATCCTCCCAGCTGACCAGAGCCTGGTGCTCTGCTGCCTCACACCCACCCACGCGGGAGAGTTGCCTGAAGTAGCATCCTCAGGCAGCCACATGTTCAGCAGGGTCCACTAGTTCAGTTCAAGACCTTAAACTTTGAAGAACTGAAGAAGAAAAGTGGGATAGGAAGGAGGGACCTACTTCTTACCTAAGTGGCTTCTTGACTGGGCTTTGTTGATGGGATGTTCCCTACTTCCCTTCTCTTCTGGGAGAGGACAGAGGGATGCCTCTCTAGGGAGGAATGTCTAATCAGATGTCCACGTGATGACATCTGGGGCCCTCAGTTGGGCATGACTTCTAGACACAGATTTGCTCCTATGATGTTCTCACCTGTGCTTAGCCACACCCCTCCTGGCCCTTTTCATCTGAAAGAGAAGATTTGTTACCATTTGCAGAGGGTAGGGAAGCAGGTGGATGTGTCGCCTGAATCAACTTTGTTCTTCTCAAACCTCCAAGTCTTCTCTGGGATTCTGGAAGAAACTTCGTTTGAGAGACACACACATTTTCTCCTTCTCATTTCTACTCTAATTGCATCTGACAGGATGACAAGCCAAACTTAGGAGAAACAGAAATACTCAGCTACTTACCTTCCTGAATTAGAAGGTCTTTCCAGTTTTACTCAGTGAGAAGAAGCATCACCTGACGAGGGAATGCAGAGCCTAGTAGGAACCACACCCTGATCTAAAGGCCCAGATCCAGGGGCCTGGGCAGGTAGTCTCCCTGAAATGTTGCTATAGCCACGGGGCCTGCAGGTCTAACCCAGATCTTGCCTCCAGCTCAGTCTTGCTCCCTCTACTTCCTGTAACTTAAGCAGCAGGGAGGAGAGGCAGCCTTCCTTTGCAATTGTCTGTCCAAATTTGCGGCGCTTGTTCTAGGGATCGAATCCATTGGGTTAGCTCAGGTTCACTGTTCTGAATTGCAATAAAGCAGAATTCAATCAAACCCCTTTTGGTGATACTTTTTTGATCCTGTGCCCCTGTTTATCACCGGCAAAGGCGTTGTAGGGTTAGGCACCTATTTATCCCAACTGGCACTCAGAGTCTTGACACTGACTTACCTGGTTAGTGGATGATCCAGTCCCTGGTTCCTTACCACCTCCCTTCTGACCTTCATTCTGCCTGAAATGTCACTGTGGATTGGAAGTGCCATTGGGGAGGAGAAATCATTGGCCAGAAGCCATTCTGGCACTGCTGGGCAGGTGGTAAGAATCTGCTGGACAGCCAAGAGCTCTCCATTAGTGGGTGAGTTAGCAGATGAGTTTTCCTCACACGTCACATCTGTATTGTACTGCCACTGGATTATCTTCAATAGTAATCAAAGTTAGAAAGCCAACACCTCCTTGGGATGGTGGCTGTGCCAGGAACCCATAAAGACCTTTGGGGACTAGGAGGCCATGAGGTTCCCAGCAGCCCCATGGCTCACATCTTGGGCTTGGCTAAGGAAGGGGGCATTTGTGATGCACAGCCACTGGTAAAGTCCCCAGTCTTGCTCCGCAAACTCATCTGCTATTCCTGAATTGACTTGGAACAGAAAGCACAAAGCTAACATGTGGATAAGACCAGGGCTTGGGCACGACCAACACTGGGGAGCAGTGTCATTGTGCCTTACCTTACACCTGAGCATGATTTTACAAAGGTGTATATAAAAGTTGGCTTCTCTTGGAAAATGTGATAGGGAACTGGTATTTAAATGAATCTTACTGTGATCCTTTTGTAAAGTGAAGAATCCCCTTGAATTGCTTTTATCCAAATCTGTGCAGGGCTGCCTTGCTCCTCTTGCACCAACTTACTGTTCTTGACCTTCTTATCTGTCAGCTAGCCCTGCAACTTCTATCAGAGCCCCTTGGCAGAACTCATCTTCCAGCATTTATTCATGGTCTGTCCAGGCCTTCCCTACTGGATGGCCTCATCATAGGGTCTTTAGAAGACTCCTCATAACCCCTACCTCTAAATGCTGAAGGTCTCCAGGCCTGCTCCTTGGGCCTTTACTTCCTTCTGTCCACACTCACTGTGGGTGGCCTCACTGACCGGTGGTTTGTAAACAGCCTCAACATTCATGCTCTCTGATGTTTATCTCCAGGCTCACTCAGTGTCCACTCACCTTCTCTCCTGTGTGTGACACCAAACTCCCATGACTCTTCCGGGATCCCTCCTGCACTCTGCCTGGTAGCAGGAAATGGGCAGTTCTATACCGTGTCTCAAATTAGTTTTGGCTCCTCTCTTTCGTATGGCGCAGCCACGCCATAAGCTGCTGCTTCTGTCTGTACCTCAAACAGGTCCAGAACCTGACTACTTCTCACTGCCGCAAGGTTTGCTCTTCTGACTCACCATCACCTCCTGCCTGGGTCACAGCATTGGCTGCCTCCCCTAGCCTGCCCTGCCCTCTGTGATTTCTTTACAGGTCAGTTAGATCATGTTGGCCCTTTGCTCCAAACCCTCCAATAGCTCCAGTTACCTTTTCACTTGGGGGAGAAGCCAAAAGCTTTGCCCTCGTTCCCAGGGCCAACATATTCTGTACCCTCCATCAACTGCATCCATCCCACCTCCCATCCTATCCCTTCCCACCTTGCCAGTCAGTTGCAGGCACACTGGCCTTTTTGCTGATCTTCAAACATGCTAAGTACTCTTCCCATGGGAGCAAGTTCTCTTTTCCAGAAAGCTCTGACCCAGGTAAGTGCCTGTCTGCACACTGCAGCTCTCCTCTGTCCCCTTATCAGGGAGGCTCTTCTGATGGCCCTGGAGAGAAGATCAGCTCCTCCTCAGCTACACTCTGACACCCCCATCTGGCCTCATACTTCTCCTTAGACCAGATCACATCTGAAATACTGTCAGTTTGCCTAGTGTCCATCTGTCTTGTTTCCCAAGGAGGGAAGCACCATGAAGACAAGTGCTCTGGTTTTTCACTGCTCTGTACTAGATCCTAGAATAATGCCCTCCAAATAAATACTTGTTGGATAGTTAAGACAGTTTCTGAGAATAAAGTAAGGCAGGGCTGCAGAAGATTAGGGCTGTTAAAAACCATGTTTGACTTTTAATTTTGGAAACAAATTAAATACAGTTAAATTAAAACAGACCAGATGGTGCAGCTGCATGGGCTCTGCCCTCCCCCCCAGGCTCTGTTCTCGGGGCTCTGAGCCCCCAGCCTCACTCCTTTGTGGTGGGGAGCAGGAACAGACTGGGTCTGGGAAACAAATTGTTGTCATGGACCCAGCTCTGATTTGGAAAAAACTCTTTCCCAACAAAGATGAAAGCTGCAGTCCACCAGGATTATAATTGTAAATAAATACACATGCAGCTAAGAGAGAGGCTATTAGGTGGAAACAACAGAAATACCATCTGCCAAAAAACAAAAACAAAAACAGAGAGAGGATATCCCATTTTGTTGTTCATTATCAATTTCCTGAAAAATGAGCCCTGGGTTTTTGGCTAAGAAGGTGGCCTAAGACCAGCCAGGCTAACCTGAGCATTCAGGGCTGGTTTTGGTGAGTGAGGCAGTGCCGTGCCTGGGCATAAATTCATTCGTTTGGTGGGTGCCCTGTGCACACCTCCTCCCTTCCCTCCTGCACCACCCCATTGGCTCTGAGGGGTTGATTCCAGAGCTGCCATCGAAAGTGTAAGAGGCTGGGGAACATCTTGCAAGGTGTCTCAGTGTTCTCACAGACAGGATCCCACTGGATGGTTTCACGAATGCTGTGGAAAGTTAAATCCCTTTCAAAATCGGCAGCCAATGCTATTTTTTGAATGTTAGGTTGCTGGACTGAATCCTACCCACCCACCCAGGAGTGGGTTCTCAGCAGTCCTCAGACTGGTCCTGTGAGTTTAAATGGGGCATGGGGGCTGTTAGCGTTAAAAAATAAACACCTCTTCAGTAGGCTCAGGCCTTTCCCTTTCCTCAGCTTGGGGGGAAAATTGTGCTTCCAACTTTCAGGATCATGAGTGAGAGAATCAGAAGAGGCCTGTCCCTGTCAGGGGCCTCTCCTGGTGCAGGGGGCAACACATGCACACTGTTCTTTCTCTTGGGGGTGGGTGACTGGGGAGAGAGGAGGACAAGCAGCAGGCTTGTTCCTCATGCTCTCAACTTAGGGACAAGGGAGGTTTTCATTCCCATTATGTGTTTAAAATAGAATGATTTTCCAAAGTAGTGTGTGCTCAGGTTTCCTTTCCCCTCAGGGTCCAGATGATCTCTGTCCCTTTTCCACAAATCCTTCTGTTAACCCAAAGCCCTTACCCCTCCCCCCACCCCTCCCAACCAGAGGCAGGAAGGAATATGGAACTGCCCCTACCTCCCTCTTCTTTCCACCTTGTCCACCCCTGGTTCACTTTAGCCCCTGAGGTCTGTGGTTCTCAAGAGCTCC